ATCAACGCCAGATGCAGACGGCGTCCTCTCCACAGCCCCCGTCACGGTCACCAGTTTTTTCTCCCGAATCCTGCAGAAGCCGTCAGCGCCAGCACGGTCCAGGAAAGTGCCCTGCGGCTGATAGTACATGTCGAAACTGCGGATTTCAAGGCCACTGGCCCCGCACACCTCGATGCCCCGCCAACAAGGCCTCATGCAACGCTTGCAACAAGCAAGGACACTTCGCCAAGTGTTGCGGGTCCACCGAGAAGCCCCCATCCCCAGGTCAAAATGTCTCTTCACCGTCTCCCAAGAACAACAAAGGATGCCTACGCGTGGATGATGCCTCGAGTGACAGGTCCCCCAAGCCCGTCAATGTTCGTCTGTCCTACGACACCAACTCTTCCAACCTCCTGATGATACCTGACACGGGCGCGGACATCACGGTGATTGGACCAACACACCTGGACGCCCTCAACATCCCCAGGAGTAGCCTGTCACCCACAGCCAGGAACGACGTACTCACAGCGGACGGGTCCCCGATGTCTCCAGCTTTGGGGTGCTTCAAGGCAACATTACAGCTCGGTCCCAAGTCTTGCCTTGCCACAGTCCACGTCCACGAGGGCATCCAAACCCCTCTCTTGTTATGTGGCCATTGTCAGGACTTGGCCATCGTCTCATCTGAGTTCCCAAAGCCCATCCTCGCCGTGACACACCTCAACAGGTGTGCAGATATACCTGTTTCAGCCATGACCACACCTGCTGCCGCCCGGGAGTTCTTTTTTCGTCAGTTCAGCGACGTCCTCATCTCCAAGTCCGACCTCCAGAAGACGCCGCTCAAGAAGATGACAGGCCCTCCGATGAGAATCCACCTCAAGCCTGGCGCGACGCCTTTCGCCATCCACACACCCAGGCCTATTCCCTTTGCCATACGGGACAAGGTGAAGGCGGAGCTCGATTCTCTGGTGCAGCAGGGGATCATCAGACACGCCGGTGAGGAGCCCTCCGAGTGGTGCCACCCTATGGTCTTGGCACCCAAGCCTGTAGGTGTTCGCATCACAGTGGACCTCACCCATCTCAACTCGCAGGTCTCCCGTCCCGCCCATCCATCGCCTACGCCCATTCAAGCAGTCCGCAGCGTCACCCCGTCTGCAAAGTTCTTTACCACGGCGGATGCACTACATGGGTACTGGCAAGTCGACCTGGCGGAAGAAGATCGCCACCTCACTACATTCATCACGCCCCACGGCCGCTTCCAACACTGCCGCGGACCCATGGGCTTCGCAGCAACGGGGGATGCGTACTGCCTCCGTGGGGATATGGCCCTGCAGGGTGTCACCAACTGCGTGAAGGTCGTAGATGACATCCTGCTCTTCGACGATGATCTCCCGGCCCACTTGAACCGAGTTCATCTGATGCTCACAAGATGTCGTGCCCATGGCATCACCCTGAACAAAGATAAATTTGTGGTCGCCGCCTCCCAAGTTAACTACTGCGGCTACAACATCTCGCCAGAGGGGATCTCAGCTGATGAGGAGGTCAAGGCCATCAGGGACTTCCCTACTCCAGCGAACCTGACCGACCTTCGCTCATTTATGGGCCTGGTAAATCAGCTGGCCGACTTCTCCCCTAAAATCGCCACATCAGCCCAACCTCTACGCCCCCTCATGAGCCCCAAGCGCTCCTTCCTCTGGACTCCTGACCACGACCTAGCGTTCAGGAATGTTAAGAAGGCGTTGCTGTCACCACCAGCCTTGGCACCCTTCGACCCGTCCTTACCAGTGGTCCTCCAGACCGACGCCTCCCGTCTATACGGCCTCGGATATGCCCTCCTTCAAGACCACGGCCAGGGTAGACTGCGCTTAGTTCAGTGTGGCTCCAGGTTTTTGACGGACACGGAGACCAGATACGCCACCATCGAACTAGAGATGCTGGCAGTCGCCTGGGCTATGGCCAAGTGCCGCCTTTACCTGTTCGGCCTTGGGCATTTCACCCTCATGACGGACCATCGCCCGCTCATACCCATCCTCAATCACTACACGTTGGACGCCATCGAAAATCCTCGCCTCCAACGTCTCAAAGAGAAGACCGCCCCTTACGTCTTTACAGCTGTGTGGCGCGCCGGGAAGCTTCTGTGCATACCAGACGCCCTCTCCCGAGCCCCTGTTAGTCGCCCCACACCCGAAGATGAAGTCGACTGTACCACGGCCGCTGCTCACGTTCGGTCTTTAGTGACACACACAGCCACTTCTCTTGCTGACAAGACGACGACGACGCCCTCCATCGAAGACGATAGGACTCTCCAGGAGCTTCGCATCGCCGCCGCTCAAGACCCGGCATACGTCCAACTCCTCGACTACGTCTCCGCTGGATTCCCCACCAACCGCTACGACATTCACGCCTCCGCCCTCCCCTTCTGGAAGCTAAGGGATAGCCTCTATGCGGACGGAGAGCTGGTGTTGTACGGCCCCAGGATCGTCGTTCCCGCTGCCCTCCGCCGGCGCACCTTATCCCGCCTCCATGACAGCCACCGCGGCGTTGAAGCCACCAGGCGCAGAGCCCGTCAGACCGTCTTCTGGCCTGGTATTGACGCCGATATTAAGAGCACGGTTGAGGCCTGTGAGCCTTGCCAGCAACTCCAGCCCAGCCAGCAACAAGAGCCGTACCTGTGCAATGACCTCCCAAAGCGGCCCTTTGAGTCCGTGTCCGCCGACTTCTTTAATGTGGCCGGAAAGTCTTTCCTGGTGGTCGCCGACAGGCTCTCTGGATGGCCCGTGGTAGTTCCCTGCGGTCGGGACACCACCTCTTCCAGGGTCATCCGGATGTTCTGTCGCTTCTTCCGGGAAGTCGGAGTGCCTCTCCGCCTCCGAACCGACGGTGGGCCCCCGTTCAATAGCCACGAGTTCAAGAGCTTCGCCGAACGCTGGGGCGTCCACCACATCGTCACCTCCCCTCATTACCCGCAGGCGAATGGCCACGCCGAGGCAGCGGTAAAGTCCGTAAAATACCTCATCCTCAAGACAGCACCGACGGGGAACCTGGACTGCGAGGAGTTCGACAGGGGCCTACTGGAACTCCGTAACACCCCTACCCCTGCCGGACGCTCTCCTGCCCAGGTGTTGTATGGCCGCCCCCTTCGTACTCGTGTGCCTGCCCACCCCCAGTCCTTCTTAGATGAATGGCAGATCAAGGCGGACGAGTGCGACCGCAGTGAGGCTGCCCGGATGGCCCAAGTGACAAGCCACTATGACGCCCACGCCCGCCCCCTTCCCAGGTTGACCGTCGGCCAGCAAGTACGAATCCAGGACCCGACGTCACACCGCTGGGACAAGGTCGGGGTCGTCATGGGCCGTGGCGAGTCTCGTTCGTACCAAGTCCGCCTCCCCAGTGGTCGTGTGTGGTGGCGAAACAGACGCCATCTCCGCCCAGTGCCATCCTCTAGTGACGAACCTTCCTCCCCGTCCCCTGTGTCCCCTTGCCCAGACCAGGAACGAAGGTCGTCAGTTGATCCTCCCATTGTCCCTCGCCGCTCCCCCCCGACTCATGGAAAAAGAGTCCGTAGACCGCTCGAGATTGCACTACGAGCGTAAAGGGGGAGGGAGGTGTATAGATATGTGAACACGCCTGACGCCAAGACTCTGTTACCATTCATTGTACCATTTATTCACATGTCTGTATTACTACATATTATTATACCATGTCCGATATCTATGCTTATGTCTAATGCCTATGTTCACTTACTATGTCCCGATATACTATGTCTGTACCGCGCTAGTCGAGTAACTAGAGGACCTCATTTATTGTCCTAGTGATGTCTAGCAACTCTCCTTGCCCAGCTAGACAACTGCCCTCAGATCAGCCTCGGCCTACCTACGGTCCGGGGTCCCTTGTGCTCGCCTCTGTATCGGTCGGCTATCACGCCAAGTCTTGTACACTTATTGAATATACCTACTGCTCGTGCTCTGGAGTTTCAAGAACCTTGTCTAGGATTGCATCCACTACACTGATGATGACGATGAAGAAGAAGGATCGTAGTGGAAAGTTTGTCCTTACAAAATCTGTAACTAAGTCTAATTATTTCTCACAGGTAATAATTGCCTGCCATTCATATGCCATGACACAAGATGGAAACCTGCATAATATACTATTTAGATTGATAATGAAATAATTGTAGAACTGATGAGATATAAATGAAATAAGTAACTTCATCTGATTAATGGTAACCCTTGTCTGTGTTTCCTGTTTCAACCTGTCATTGTCAGTCCCTATGACTCAATACTTGACTCTTTGCCCTTTCCAAATAGGCAACTAGGCTATATACATTGAAATATACCCAATATAATGTGTTGTGTATATTAAGACTGTATCATGCGGACAAGAAAATTCAGTCCTACACTACAAGTATAATATGCAAAATGGATTGACCTCTAAATGTTAATGAATATGGATAAAATTTTACAGACCTTATCTATGAACCAAATGGACAATTTTAAGGCTTGTGGAGGCAATATATTACTACTTATATTTTTTACCATATAGTTTTGGACCACCCTAATATATATATATATATATATATATATATATATATATATATATATATATATATATATATATATATATATATATATATATATATATATATATATATATATATATATATATTATATATATATATATTTATATATATATATATTTATATATTTATATATATTATATATTATATATATATATATATATATATATATATATATATTTATATATATATATATATTTATATATTTATATATATATTTATATATATATATATATTTATATATATATATATATATATATATATTATATATATATATATATATATATATATATATATATATATATTTATATATATATATATATATATATATATATATATATATATATATATATATATATATATATATATATATATATATATATATATATATATATATATATATATATATATATATATATATATATGCAGTAACTGTACGTGTACTCACTGTAAGCCAGAGCTATAATATTGAGAAGATTCCACTTCCCGGTACCCAAGTGGGTGAGCAGGTGGTCCAGTTGATTAGCCATGATGATGTACCTGGAGGAGACAGGCATAACTATGATCATTATGCTGAAAATATGTGCGAATCTATTGTTGTAACCAGAAATATGTGTGATATCTAAAATTAATGTCAGTAAATATTGGCTGGATGCTGGAGGGGAATGGATAGAAAAGTAGATGTAAAGCAATTTACGTAGTGAAATATGAAATGACTCTTTTAATTATTATATTGAGGATAGTCATTTAAAACAAGGCAGTGGTCTGAAAGAGGAACTTTCTTATCATACGTGCCTAAGATGATATACTATCCGTATGAGTGGGTTTCCTCAAAATTTATCTCAATAAGAAAAAATACAGGCATTATATTTTCGGAAAGTGCCACAAATAGTAGAATTAATGTATGGTAATATATGGCGGAAAAAAATGACGATAATACATAATACAGTTCAAAACAATAAAACAAGAGGGACATGGGTGTTCGCTGGACCTTTTCCACAGGTAGGACAAAAAACCCAAAGAAAAAATCCCCAGTTAAAGTGCATAATAGGACAGAACTTCCCTATTGCGTATAATTATGTTTTTTAACGTTAGGTTTACGTTTTGTTAGGTAAAGAGATTTTGTCCTTGGGCAGTTTTTATATGAGTGGAATTTGTCCTTGACTTGGCAAGGGGATAAGCTATCACCCACAATCGGTTTGGTAGGTTCAATATTTTAGGATTTTATTTTTTATTTAAAGATTATAGCAGGCTTATAACTATACTGCATAATGAGCTTGATACATGATGATTATATGAATTCATTAATATAAGATTACATGAAACAATTATATTGCAATAGAGTCTGTTGTGTACAATAATTATAAGCATCTTTGCTCGGTAGTCACAATCACACAGATTAACTCCATCCATGAACAACAAAAATGTGTTCATCTTTAAAAGTTATCCCCCAAATGTATATCGTTAGATTCTCCTTCGCTACAATTCGAAACGCTAGACGAAATGCTTTGATATGATCCTCAGTGCATCATCACAAGATCACAAGTTGTACCAGCTCGACATATCAGCAACAGATAGAGAGGCGGGTAGGATTAGGAGTCGTCCTTGTAATGCATACTAAATACTTTAATATAAGAAGAAATCCAATAAGCTATATTTATGTATGTATTGTGTTGGGTAAAAGCAAAGCCTGTGTTTCCAGGCCACTGATTGATGATTACAATAACACTGAAATATATATTAAATGGAAGTGTTTCGGAACATCATAACTGAGACGGAGACCTCAAAATGGACATTTCACCATTATCTCGTTGTAGTAACGGAATTTCATTCATACTGTGGGAGACCCATGTGATACTTCCAATCAGGAGTGAAGGAAACACACTGGTGTCAAGTTCGTAAGTTCTATTTCTGGGACAAACACACAAAAGGAGTTAAGACAGGGGAACAGCGTCCTGTCTTGGAATCTCTCCCGGTATCTCTCTCTGCGCATGCGCGTACAGCGCGCATGTGCCTAAAACATGAACTAACATTCAGTGACAAAAGGGAGTATGATTATAACATATAATACAGAGACCTGAATCAATAATGGTAAATAGTACAGTTACATATTACAGCATATTCGTCTCATATATCTACACCTCCCTCCCCCTCACGCTCGCAGTGCAATCTCGAGAGGACTCTTTTTCCAGGAGCCTTTGAGAGTGACGTGGGAAAACTGGGGGGTCACTGAATGAGGACTTACTTTTCTCGTCCAAGCAAGGGTTCACAGGGATGTGGGGGAGGGGTTCACCACTAGGGGACGGTACTGAACGAAGAAAGCGGCGATTCCGCCACCATACCCGACCACTAGGGAGACGGACCTCGTAATCCCTGGTCTTGCCGCAGCCCATGACAACCCCGACCTTGTCCCAGCGGTGAGACGTCGGGTCTTGAATCCGAACTGTTTGCCCGATACTCAACCTGGGAAGGGGTCGGGCGTGCTGATCGTACTGTGCCTTTACCTGGTCAGCACGGGCGGCTGCACGACGATCGCAGTCCTCGGTCTTGGCCTGCCACTCCCTCGAGAAGGACTCAGGATGGGCAGGGACACATGACCGTAGTGGGTGGCCGTATAACATCTGTGCTGGGGAGCGACCTGTGAAGTTGGGGGTATTCCGCAATTCCAATAAACCCCGGTCAAACTTCTCACAGTCAATGTTGCCTGAGGGTGCCGTCTTGAGGATAAGATGCTTGACGGACTTTACGGCAGCCTCGGCATGTCCATTGGACTGGGGATAATGTGGCGAGGACACCACATGATAAACTCCCCATCGCTCCATGCAGTCCCGGAAGTCGTTGCTGGTGAACTGGGGCCCGCCGTCAGTCCTCAGGCGGAGAGGGACACCAACTTCCCGGAAGTAGCGACAGAACATACGTACTGTATGAGAGGCAGTAGTGTTGCCTCCGCAGGGAACGACAACAGGCCAACCTGAGAGCCGGTCGGCGATGACGAGAAAGGACTTTCCCGCCACAACGAAGAAATCCGCAGAGACGGACTCAAAGGGCCTCGTAGGGTTGTCGTTGTTCATGAGGGGTTCCTGCTGCTGACTAGGCTGCAGCACCTGGCATGGCTCGCAGACTTGAACGGAACTAGCGATGTCGGAGTCGATGCCTGGCCAAAAAACAGCTTGTCTCGCCCGGCGCTTCGTAGCTTCCACACCCCTGTGGCTGTCGTGCAGGTGGGCTAGGGTGCGGCGGCGGAGGGCGGCAGGAACCACAACTCTTGCTCCATACAAGACGAGGTCGCCATCAGCATAGAGGTCGTCCCGCATCTTCCAGTATGGGAGTAAAGAGCTGTGTAAGTCGGCGTCCTGCGGTGGAGACTCTTCTGAGATGACGGCGTTCACGGTCACTACAGTCCTGAGGTGTGCAGTAGCATCAGCACATGCGATCTCGTCCTCTGGTGTGGGGTGGCTGACTGGGGCTCGTGACAAAGCATCAGGGATGCAGAGCAGCTTGCCAGCACGCCACACAGCTGTGAAGAGGTAGGGCGAGATCTTCTCCTTAAGGCGTTGGAGGCGGGGATTCTCGACCGCATCCAAGGAGTAGTGGTTCAGGATCGGGATGAGTGGCCGATGATCCGTCATGAGGTTGAAGTGTTGTAGGCCGATCAGATACAACCTACATTTGGACATGGCCCAGACGGCGGCTAACAGCTCCAGTTCGATGGTGGCGTAGCGAGTCTCGGCGTCAGTAAGAAACCGAGAGCCACACTGAACCAGACGAAGGCGTCCATTGCCGTGGTCCTGTAGCAGAGCGTATCCAATCCCGTAGAGGCGAGAGGCATCAGTCTGGAGGACAACTGGCAGGGCCGGGTCGAAGGAAGCGAGAACAGGTGGGCTAAGGAGAGCTGTCTTGACGCGACGGAATGCCTCATCATGGTCAGCTGTCCAGGTGAATGTTCTCTTGGGGCTCATCAGGGGGCGTAGGGGCTGTGCTGCAGCGGCGATGTCGGGGGTGAACTCAGCCAACTGGTTTACCAGGCCCATGAACGAGCGGAGGTCGGTCAGGTTGGCAGGAGTTGGGAAGTCCCGGATCGCGCTGACCTTTCCAGGATCAGCCGAGATGCCCTTGCCTGAGAGGGTGTACCCACAGAAGTTCACACTAGGTGCGGCGACCACAAACTTATCCTTGTTGAGGGTGATCCCGTACTTGCGGCACCTGGTGAGCATCTGGTGAATACGCTCAAGATGCGTGGAGTAATCCTCGTCATATAGGAGCACGTCGTCGATGACCTTGACACAGTTCGCCACACCCTGAAGGGCCATGTCACCACGGAGGCAGAAAGCATCGCCAGTAGCCGCGAAACCCATAGGTCCTCTGCAGTGCTGAAATCGGCCGTACGGTGTGATGAACGTCGTGAGGTGCTGATCTTCTTCCGCAAGTTCCATCTGCCAGTACCCACATAAGGCATCTGCTGTAGTAAAGTACCTTGCCTTCGGGTCCACACTGCGTATAGCGGTGAAGGGTGTCGGTGAAGGGTGGGTCGGGCGGGAAACTTGGCTATTCAGCTTGGTGAGGTCGACGGTGATACGAACTCCAGTAATGTTCTTGGCGACTGCTACCATGGGGTGACACCAATCCGAGGGGTCGTCACCAGCAGGCTTAATGATCCCCTGGGCTACCATAGAGTCGAGTTCCTTCTTAACTTGGCTCTGGAAAGCGAAGGGTATCTGTCGCGGTGTGTGGATGGCGAAAGGTACTGCGTCATCCTTCAGGTGTATTCTCATGGGGGAGCCAGCCATTGGCTTGAGTGGAGCCGTCTTGAGGTCCTCCTTGGAAACCAGCACGTCCTTGAATTGCAGTAGGAAGAACTCCCTGGCTGCAGAAGGTGACGTATTGGGTGGGAGGGGCAGCTCCTTGCACCTGTTGACATGTTTTATTTCCAGAATTGGCTTAGGGAAGTCTGGAGATATTATGGCCAACTCTTGACAGTGGCCATAAGACAGTAGTGGCATCTGAACACCTTTGTGGACCTGAATCCTGGCAGAACATGACTGCTTACCTAGGGTGAGGGTAGCCTGAAATGTACCCAGAGCAGGTGCCATTGTAGAACCGTCTGCGGTGAGCGTTGTAGAAGTTGACGGTGGTTGCAAGCTGCTCCTAGGGATCCCCAGAATGTCGAGGTGTCTTGTGTCGATGACTGTGACGTCCGCACCTGTGTCAGGAAGCATCTGGATACGGGAAGTAATGTCGCCGTATGACAGGTGAACACAGATGGGCTGAGGTGTCTTGCTGACAGGGGAAGAAGAGGATCCCACGCGACGACAGCGCTTGTTCTTCGCCGCCTGAGACTTGCAAGTAGTATTATTCTTCTTCTGTGACTGACAGCATTTGTCATAGTGTCCAATGCGGCTACAGGAGCGGCACTGAACGTTGTTGGCAGGGCACTTCAGTGTCCTAGCCCAATGACCACGACGTCCACAGTTATTGCAGGTGCTGTCAGCGGCAGGGCATTCAGAACCATGCCGGCGAGCACAATGCTGGCAGGAATGACC